TCGTGCTTCTCAACACCACAGGTGTAGAGACTGCCAATTCACCAATGCTGTCATCTCGCGAGCTCACTCATGCTTGTTAGAACCAAATCTCTCTCCTTGCCCTTTTCACCAAGGTGTTCTATTACAGGTGTTTCCTATAACTCTCACTCCTCCTAGCCATAGGCTATACGAGCTGCTACACACAAACTCCCAGACTAGGAAGCAAGGTGTGAGTGACCAGGGCAATGGCTCTGATCAGTAAAGGGTCAGGACAAGAGCTACCTAGACCTGGACCTCAGACACCAGTGTCAGTGGTCTGACATTGAGCCAGTGACCTGAACACAGTCCGTAACTCACTTATGCTGGTTCCCTGGCACAAGCCAGCAGGGGCTGAAGCAATTTGATCGTGGTGTCAGCAGGACGGGGAGCTGGGGAGCAGAGAGGGGCAGTTCCTCACCTCAGAGCCTCTGGAAAATCATCCTGGCTGATCTCTAAGTGTCCTTGTTTGTGTTTTGTTTGTTTTTTCTGTTTGCTTCTTTTGACAGTGCAGCTCAACCAGGACACAGTGTGCAAGCCTTGCCCTGTAGGCTACTTCTCAAATGCCTTTTCTTCCACGGACAAATGCAAACCCTGGACCAAGTAAGTGGTGATACAGGAGCCAAAAGACTGCTGATTTTAAACAACCTTACTGTCTCATCTGGGTTGAAAACAGACAGATTCTCTTGGGTTTGGCTTCCTCTTGAAGCCATGTTCAAAATGAAAAATACCAATTCAGCATGGGAAAAAAAATCAATCCTTCATCCCAACGTGTGATGGAAACTTTGTGTGTCCTTTTAGATTCAGTAATCTGTGACTTAAAGTTGCAGCTTCTTTTTCCCTTTTTCTAACCATACTCAGTTAAAAGTGATTTATAACATTTATTATCATTCAATAACCACTCTTGCTTTTCCCAACTTTCTAATATCACTGGTTTATTCATTCAGAGATTTGTATGTGTGTGTTGTATATGTACACATAGAAACTGCCTTTTATGTAAATATTTGCACACTATAAGCACCTCGGGGTTTTTTTCCACATAATATATCCTAAAGCTTTTACTATATTAGTTCACCTAGATCTTTGTGGTTTTTTACAGCTGTGGAATGTTTCATTGTAGAGATGTACCACAGTTTATTTAGTATGTTCTCTGTTGATAGTCATTTAGGTTGTTTCTAGTCTTTTGCAAGAATATGTGATTCTGTAATGCAGATGCTCATATCTGTACTTTTTCACTTTTATGTCAGTGTATCTACAGTGAAATTCCTGGTTTGAGACCTATGGCTCAAGTGGCTAAGACCCAGCCACATACACCTAAGGTGGCGGGTTCGAATCCCCAGCCCGGACCCGCCAAAACAACAATGACAGCTGCAACCAAAAAAATAGCCAGGCGTTGTGGCAGGTGCCTGTGGTCCCAGCTAGTTGGGAGGCTGAGGCAGGAGACTTGCTTGAACCCAGGAGTTGGAGGTTGCTGTGAGCTGTGATGCCACAGCACTCCACCCAGGGGGATAGCTTGAGGCTCTGTCTCAAAAAAAAAAAAAGAAAGAAATTCCTGGGGCCTTTGATTGCATGTTTGATGCTGAATACTAATAATTAATGTATTCCTTCTTTCACTTCCCAGTATATTCTGTATTACATGTTTATTTTCGGATCCACCTATGCAGTTTTTATAGGAAAGAGGATTTTCTATATATTTCAGCTTGCAAAGAGCAATCATCAAAATCAAAAGCGTATTACTTAGCCATGGTTATTGAAGCTACTGGAAAGTTCTTTACTGAAGACTCTGACCAGTTCTCTTACTGACCCCACTCCCGGAGTGGTACTTAGGAACCCAGGCAGTGGCTGCCTTAGTTCAATCGATTTTCCCACCCTCATGATGTGCTGCTCCTCTAGGGAAGGCCCTGGGGACTCAAAAGTCCAAAAAGATAGGGGTCCGTCTCCAGAGAGGGATAGCAAGCTAGTACAGTCTTTCATTCATTTGTTTTTTAACAAGATTTTTGCACAATGTAAGGAGATACGACACACCTCCTGGGTGCAGGACACAACTACAAAAGGGACTGTACGTAACAAATGCAAACAGTGTAATCTAGTTGTTGTACCCTCGCATTAACCTGAAATTTTAAAAAAGAATATAAAACCAAAACACTTAACTACATCCCCGCTCTCACCTTCCCACAGCTGTACCATCTTTGGAAAGACAGTAGAACATCCCGGGACGGAGAAATCTGATGTGGTTTGCAGTTCTTCTCTGCCATCTATAAAGCCACCAAATGGTATGTTTTAAAAGAGCCTTTGGCTGGCAGATAGATCAGCTTGTCCAGATCCCTCCTGACTGACATGCTATATCTTTCCTACAAGAGTTCATCTGTCCCTTTTCATTTCATCCTGTTCGTGGTCAGCTCAGTATCACATTTTTATCGGTATTTTAATTCCAGATGTTGTTTCCTTGATAATTTTCTATATTGGTTTGGGGATAACTAATAAAAGCTACCTATTTATGCCACATTTTGTGCATTAGATTCATCTTCAGTACAATTTTAAAGATTGACAGAATGTCGATGGTTAGTGGTGGAGGTTGGTTACTGCAGGAGAGTCAGACAGTGTGGAGGTGGGTCCAGATGTCGGAAGAGATGCTGAAAGTGGCGAGAAGACCCACCCAATGTGGCAAGAGAACCCAGGCCACAGAGTAACAAGGTTAATGGGGTTTAGATTTGACATTTTGGAAAAGAGGAAGATGTTTAGGCATTCTTGATACGGAGTTATATAGAATTGGAGCACACTTTATAAAAGACCATTTTGCAGATAACCTTAGAAATAATAAGGAAATAAAAAGTTATTTCATAAAGGAGAGGAGAGGAAAATAGGAGTCCAGAAAACCAGAACAAGCAAACCAAGAGTTCACAGTGTGAAGCTTTTTCTGGCACTGACGTGATCAAGGAGGGACAAAGAAATGTTGAGTCCACATGGTGTCATGAATGGAGCAGCGAAGATACTTCATAGGATGGCTGTGGTTCTGTTCTCAAGACCAGCAGAACCCTGGTGCCATGACGCTGTTAGGAATGAGATAAGATAAGGGGCTTCCTTCTGCCTGCCAAGATATCCACCTGGGGAGGTTGAGGCAATCTGGAGGGAAGCCAAGATGAAGCCAGGTGGCGTGGTACGCACAAATAGAGTTGCTCTAAAGTAGAAACATCATGAGCGTCCTGGGCTGGCCTCCTGGTGGGATGAAGGTTGAGTGAGCAGGGCTGGGCTAGATTGTGGGCCCTGCCCTTCAGAATGTGAGAGATCACTGACAAACACTTCCAGAGCTGGGGACCTTCCCACCTAGCTCATTCCGGACCAAGATCCTTGATATGGGGTTTGATTTATAGGGTTTTGTTCTTAAACTTAGTAAAATTCAATAATCCCTATTTCTCTTTTTTTCCAATACAGAACCCCAGATTGGCCTGCCCAGTTTAATCATTCTGCTTCTCTTTGTGTGCGTGGCAATCGTGGCTGCTGTTGTCTTTGGTGTTTACTATAGGAAAAAAGGGAAAACACTAACAGGTACTGAGTGCACGGCGGTTTTTAAAATTTAACCTTAAAGAAAATAGATACATTGCTAGGTAAACACTCGAGGATGAGTAAATTGTCCACTGGCTGCTTTGGTGATCTGTTTAAATAAATGCCTTGAGGTGATGGTACGTAAAGCACAATACTCTCTGTCTGATTCATTGTTCCCTAGAAAAAACAAGAACCTGAAAACCAACATTGTGTCTGTATATAAGCAAACAAGAATCTTCTAGTACTCAGGAAACAGATGATTTGTAAGCTCTATGGTTAAGTTGTATAGATTATGCTGCATCGGTCATGGTGGGGGATTGCATTTATCTTGTAATAAACCTATTTTTAATGTACACATTTAAACTGTAGACAGAATATTCAGATGAATAATAGGAAGTATCAATTGGGGTGTTAATTTGAATGTGAATCTAAAATTATGAAAATAAGTTATATTTAATAAATTTAAGTGCTTATTCTTAACATGGACAATAAAGTATTATCTTGTATCTTGGGAATAACTTTCTTATAAAAGATTGTTGGTATCTAATATCGCATTATGTTTGGCCATATGCTACAAGGCTAAAGTATAATTTTTATCAAAGGATTGAAGGCTTCATTAGGTTTCCTAAAGATGTTTCTTAGTCATTCTCTCTCTCTTTTCTTTCTTTTGTTTGCAGTTTTTGGCCGGGGCTGGGTTTGAACCCGCCACCTCCGGCATATGGGGCTGGCACCCTACTCCTTTGAGCCACAGGCACCACCCTCTCTTTCTCTTTTTAAAATTAATTTTTGAGACAGGGTCTCACTCTTTCCCAGGGTAGAGTACAGTGGCATTATCATAGCTCACAGGAACCTCAAACTCCTGGGCTCAAGCGATCCTCCTGCTTCAGCCTCCCAAGTAACTGAAACTACAGACACACACCGCAACACCTAACTCATTTTTCTATTTTTCATAGAGATGGGGGTCTTGCCGTGTTGTTCAGGCTGGTCTTGAATTCCTGGCCTCAAGTGATCCTCCCACCTTGGCCTCCCAATGTGCTAGGATTACAGGCACAAACCACTGTACCCAGACCAAATCATTCTTTTCTGAAGCATCTGGTATTTCACCAAGCTCTTCCATTTTTAGTAGCTCAGTTGTTTATATGACCCACCTCTCCTTTGCTGTGATTTGGTCGCTTCTCACATGTCACATCCACAGATTTCATAACACCCAGCAAATCTTGCTATTTCTTTTTTTTTTTTTTTGAGACAGAGCCTCAAGCTATCCCCCTGGGTAGAGTGCCATGGCATCTCAGCTCACAGCAACCTCCAACTCCTGGGCTCAAGCAGGTCTTCTGCCTCAGCCTCCCAAGTAGCTGGGACCACAGGTGCCTGCCACAACACCCGGTTATTTTTTGGTTGCAGCCGTCATTGTTGTTTTGGCGGGCCCAAGTTGGATTCAAACCTGCCACCTTAGGTGTATGTGGCTGGTGCCTTAGCCACTTGAGCCACAGGCGCCGAGCCATATCTTGCTAATTCTATTACCATTATATGGCCTAATGTAACACTGGGCAATCAAAAGATTAATTAAAAAGGAAAGGTCAGCTTTCTCTTCATCCGTTCACCCACACATTTTAATTGGCTACCGGGCAGTGAACTGGCAGTGAGGTCTCAATATTGAGTTACATAGGCACAGCCAGTGCTGTCCTGGAGGAAGCATGTCAGTGGGCAGGCAGGTACTCAGCCCACAGCATGTGGCTGAATACCAAAAAGCAGGAGCCCAGAGCCAGGTACCAAGTGACAGGTCTGTCCAGCCATAGGGTCAGCCAGGGCTTCCCAGAGGAGGAAATGGGTGATTGAAAGATGATGAGAATTTACAGGGGTATGGAGGGGGTTGAAAGAGGTTAATGCAGCTGTAATAGAAAGTCAAGGAACCAGTCAGGTGACACTGGAGAGGAGGGAGTGGCCAGACAAAGCAGACCTGTGGGCAGAAGTGGGGGGTTTGCTTTGTATCCTTAGCAAAGGGAAGCAAGGACAGCCCCCTGGCTTTAGCAAGCAAACTTGCTGGTGCAGGGAGAATAGATATAGGTGCACCAGATAGGAAAGTATTTGCAGTTGTCCGAGGGAGAGATGATCAGGGTAGATGTGACTGTGCATAAGTACAGTAGAACCTCTGTAAGTTGACCACCCAAGGGACTGTAACAAACTGGTCAACATAAGGCTTTACGCCTACTGTGCTAATACGTACATGTGGTGCATGTCAGTCTGTGAAAATTAGGTCAACTTAAGGAGGTGGTCAATTATAGAGATTCTACTATATTTCTTTTTAGTACTGTCTGTGATTGTCTGGACTGATTCCTACAAGGGATTCCTGCACCTGTCCTTTTATTGGGAGTGATTTCACTGTAATATAATTTCAAAATGATAGAAAAGCAAGTGATGATGATGATAAAATAGCTGACATATATTGAATATTATCATATGCCAGCACAACTATGAGAGGTCTGACAATTACGTTTGTGAACTCATCCTACAAAAAATGCTACATAGCTCATTGCTGAATATCACTATGGTCATCTTTGAAGACCCCCAGGAAACTACACATTGATACTAGTACCTAGGTCACCTTTCAAATGGGAACTCTTTTTCTGGAATGGCCATGAAAGCTGTCATCATATTACCCTTAATGTGCTGAATGTCATCAAAATGTCTTCCTTTCAATATTCCTTTATCTTCAGGTAAAGAAAAAAGTCATTGGGGCCAGGTCAGGTGTGTGGGGAAGGTGTGCCAGTACAGCTATTGCTTGCTGTCTAAAAAATCCCTCACATAGTACCGTGTGAGCTGGTGCATTGTCATGATACAAGAGCCATGAGTTTTTTGCCAAAATTTTTCAATTAACATTTTCCTATTAAGAGTTTCTCTGCTGGCTTGGCGCCTGTGGCTCAAGCGGCTAAGGCGCCAGCCACATACACCTAAGGTGGTGGGTTCGAATCCCCA